AGGGTTCAGGGTTTAGAGTCTAGGCTTCAGGATTTAGGGTTTAGAATCTAGGCTTCAGGGTTCGAGGTTTAGGATTTAGTGTCTAGGGTTCAGGGTTTAGGGATAGCTTGTTTTGAAGTCGGGTTTATGGGGCCTAGGGTTTGGGGTGAAGCCGCCTCCCTCGCGGAAGGTTTAGCATTGGGTGTCTGGTGTGGGGCAGTGTAGGGCTTGCAGCTTCATTGTTTTTGGTTGTCCGGGCTGAAACTTCTTCAAAAAAAGGTGCCCCAGGGTTTTGCTGTTTGGCTTCGGAAGTTGAGACGCACCTTGCGACGCTCCAGAGGCACAGCAGCCTGGCTGTCAGTTGCCTATCTTGCATGCTCTGAGTACCCAGCGCATTCCCCAGCAGCCAATTCAATCTGCACAGTGTTCGGCCAACGCCTAATGTGAGGGATTCCTGCTCTGTATTGGTAACTCTCTCAAAAATTTACATCCGGGCGAACAAGCATCTCATCAATCAACCTACCCTGAACCCTAAACTGTAACCCTATACCTCAAACTATGTCACAGGAATCTTTGAACGGCAGGATCGTACTGGAAAGTCTTCTGCGATCTCTTTGGCCTTTTTGGGGTGATTGGGGACAAGGGCTGTGGCTCATTGTGCTTATGGATCTTCCAAAACTGTACCTGTTTTAAGTTGAAACATCTTTCGCGGAACCCGGACAAGCACCTCAACATAAAGCTTGCGAAGGCAACATTCATTGCAGGTCGTCGCTGTCAACAGTGGTTTAGGGTTTAGGGTTTAGGGGTTTAGGGGTTTTGGGTTTAGGGTTTTTTTTAGGGTTTAGGGTTTAGGTTCGGGTAGGGCAGGTGGTGATGCTGATGGTGATGGTGATTGACCATCTTATAGAAATACCAAGCGAACAGGTATGGGTAAATGGAGACAAAGCGATGTATCAGTTGAAAATATTATTACGTATCGGCAACATATTAGTGGAATAAGACTAACCGAAGCAAAAAGAAGAAGAGCTTGCAAAACCTAAAACTAAAGGAACCCACGAAGAGGGATTATTCGCCGAACTATGTTGAAAGATAGATACAGACGGGTAAGTGGGCAGACGAAGTGAATGAACAGCATTTACAAAGTGGGATGGAAGAATGGCAGGGGCCTTCTATTTTAGGGGCTCCTCATTATAAGTATAGTATAATAAACTCGAAAACCCTATTCTAAATATGTGTTTAGACCCCTATAGTAGAGTTGAAGGTTTAAGGAGGTGAGAAAATGGAAATGGCCAGCGCTAACCTCAACACCCTAAGACCTAACTAAACCCGAAGCTCAAACAGTGTCCTGGACCCGATTCGTACACTCTAAACCCTAAACCCTAAACCCTATACCCTAAACCCTATTCGTAAACTCTGAAACCTCTGAGGCCGTAAGCCCCTGAAGTAACTCCTGCACCCTACAATGCCCCAACCCCTACAAGCCCCAAAACCCCACATACACCCTTGCAGCCCTGGTCCACCCCAAACCCTAAACCCTAAACCCTAAACCCTAAAACCCTAAACCCCCTAGTAGTACACGTTTAGGAACTCCGATCCACCACCCTGAACCCTGAACCCTGAGCCTGAACTCTAAACCGCAAACCCTGAAGCTTCAACTCTACTTGGAGGTCCATGGGTAGTTATAAATGGAGTTATAAGTCCCCTAATATGAATTATAACTATAGTTACCCTACTTATAACCCCATTTAGAACTACCCCTGAACCTCCAAGTACACCCTAAACCC